AAGTTGTAGAGAGAGTTTAGTAATTTAGTGTTATAGAAAGATTCAACACATACGGATGAAAGAGAATCATAAGAGATATTGAGATAATAGAGTTTTTATGTTGAAAAATTATTGGGCACATTGATTCTGTGAGTGATTGTCACCAGTTATACATTATATATTTTCGAAAATTGGAGAATAAGTTGATACAACATAGTAGGCATGATCATATTGAGTCATTTGGATTCTTCAGGAGATATTTTGTTGCTCATTCGTTCATCTTCCTTTGAGGAGAGGAAACTAAAGGCCATGAACTCGAGGATAAACCTACAAGTTGATTTCAAAAATAGAGTTAGTGTTGACGGTGTACATCAGCCTTATAGGCAATTGTGTGTGTTGATGTTGTTTGTAATAATAGGCGACAAAATCAGAAGGCATCAGTTTATTTGTAGAATAGTAGTTTGGTATTGATGGTAGAGAACCCTAGTCGAATATAATGATTAGAGATTCGTAGTCAGGTGATGATGATCAAAGGATTATAGTTGAGCAATGGTGATCAAGAGATCATACTCGGGAAAATATGATTGGGCGATTGTGGTCAAATACCATAATTGAGCGATGGTTGTCAGAGGACCTTAGTCGAGTGATAATGATCAGGCGATAGTGGTCAAAGGATTGTAGTCGGGTGACGATTGTTTGGCGACCACGAATAAAGGATTGTAGTTTGTCGATATTGTTCATAGGATCATAATTTGGTGATGGTGGTCGAAGGATTATTATAGTCAAACAATGATGATAAGAGGATTGTTATCCAATGAAAATGGTCATTGAATCAATGTCGGGTGACAGTACTTGGAGGACCATAATCGAGAAATTGTGACCAAAGGACTAAAGTTGTGTGATAGTGATCAGAGAATTATAGTTTGGTGATGATGATCAGTGAGATTATAGTTAAGCAATGATGATTGAAGACCATAATCGAGGCGGTGGTTAGAGAACCATATCCTTGTTGCACTAGTTGGAGGACCATAGTCAGTCAATTTGGTTAGAGGATCCTATTCGGGTGTTGGCGATTAGAAAATTGCATTCGAATAATGGAGGTCGAACAACTGTGGTTAGATGGTGGTGGTTGGAGGACCATAGTTGACGCTCAAAGGGCAAAGGTCTAATGTCGGTGGTTAGGCAATAGTGGTCAAGTGGTTGTTATTAGATTGTAATGGTTCAATGGTAATGGGTTAGACGACGGTGGTCTAATGGTCATCATTTGTCTGCTATAGTCTAATGGCACTAGTCGAACGGTGGTGGTCTGAAGGAACTTAGAGATTCTTCAAGCCTATGAGTATTCTTGAATATCAAGCCATGGGTCCCATTCATATAGAGAGTGTGTTTTTATTTATAATTTTTTAGAATGGCAAGTTTAGTAAATATTGCCAAAATTTAGAACACGTTATTGGACGACCCATATTGAGTCTCTTAATTATATAATAATATTTTAGCATTGAATACCTTAATAATACCATAAATAAGTGATATTAAGCTCATTAGATTCGTCTTATCGAGACACTCAATTTGATTATAAGCACGTAAGATTTTAAGATCATATGACCATTCAATTAAAGTCTTAAAGTTTTTAGATATACTTCAAGTGCTTGATCTGTGCTTTTTTGGACATGAATTTTATAACTTTTGTTGTAAATGACAATGAGTTCATCTTGTCAAAATGTTCAATTTGACTATAAGCTTATTGAAATCAGAATTTGATTATAGACATCTTTAATTCAAATATTCATCAAAATTCGTGTTTACTCAAGTAGATTTTTGATGAAGTATCACTTGTTGTTTCCTTTCTTGCTATTCAATCTAAACAAAATATTAATGTAGAAGGGGAAAATAAAAAGCAATTGAAGAAGTTATTAATTGATTGCCTAAGTATTTTGAAGTCTTTCTTCTTATAAATATAGTACTTCTAAAAATCAAATGAAATATCAATGCATGAGATTTTTTTTTTTTCAATGTGAGAATATGACATAGGCTTTTCTTATATACAAATGAAATAAAATTTAGTCAGTTTTAAAATATATTACATATGTTTGTCTAATTAGCCATTTTTAGGTTTTTAGTTGGCAAATCTTTCTACTAGTCATTTGTATCTATCGCAAATATTATTGATTGTTAGGGCCTTTAAATACCTTTCCTCCACTTTAAAAGGCGATCGAATAATGAGTTGATGACATATATTATATAACATTTTGAGAGAGGATTCTGAGGGAGAGATTATTCGTAGATCAAGTGTTCATCTAATACTCATACGGATCTTACATTGGTCATGATCATTCTCTTGCAATCTGTTGAAAAGATTTTTAAATGCTGTAAATTTTAATTTTTAATCATTGTATTAGTAGAGATTGCATTATATTTCATTATTAAGTATTAGGATCACCACCAAAGTTCAAAGAGAATTTTTAAAATCAGGTTTTTCTTTTTTAATTCTTAGGATTGTTCTAAATAAAATTTGGCAGATGTGTCTGCCCAATTAAACAAGAATACTCTTGGCAATAACAAAGATGTAAATGCTTATCCATATACTCAAGGAGGGAAGGAGGAGATTTGTGATGCCAAGTTAGGAATAGTAAAAACCCTAAATATGCATAGTACATAAGCACGAATCTAGGCAGGCTGGGTGGCTGAATCACATAAAATATTTCTCTATCATACTCCATAACAATCATTCACTTAAAATTTCGTCATTCTCTTGACTCACTTGGATGCGTCTGAATGATGTTCAAATTCGAAAATAAGTTTGCACACTTTCGCAAAATAATTAATGAAAAATATTTTTTTCAAAGCATAATTTCAATTTTGTTGTGCTGCTATTAAGACTAACATACTTATTAAGATATGTTTGCTATTTTTTATTTTGTCGTTTTCAAATCTCTCACATGATTTTTAGTGCACCCTTTTGCTCATTTTTTTATACTCCCTTTACTTGCATGTGTGTGCAAGAAATTTTCAAATTTTATGTGAAATATTTTCTTAATATATTCATTTGTATTCTTTAACTCACCATTTAGTTGATTTTTTTACTCTTCCTTTGGTTTCTTTGCAACAATAGAGGAATTATGAAAATTCATGCAAAATAATTTTTTAATATATTTTATTTAGGCTTCAGCATTTTTTATATAATCTATTTTTGAGTCAGGATTCCCATAATAAGCTCACATATTCTGGTAATTGGGGGGAGTTGGCATATTTTTAGACTATGTAAATGCCTCATTGGCTTTTATTTAAAGAAGTATTTATCTATTCATGCCCACAAGCTATAATTCAATATATAGTACAAAAAATTATTTGGTAGCTAACTTGTAAGCGACTAGATCAGAGTTTCATTGGAGTTAGTTTTATGAATTCCATTAGAGAAAGCTTACTTATAATTTAATATTATTTGTTAATATATGATTTGTAGAGCAAATAATTGTTTTTTATATTTGAAAATAATAATAATCATAACACTATATGTGGACAACACTATCAACAAAAGTGTCATAGTTGTACACCCACATTTTCAGCAAATTCGGTACAAGCTAAGTCAATCCAATTGAAGCTAACTTAAGCTGGTTCAAGCTAGGTAAACTCGGCCTACTCGATCTCAAACTCACATTTCTGTAAAAGAATTGGTACCAAGCAAGCGACTATGATCTAAAATTTCATTACAATCGACGAGTGTAGCTTATTAGTTAGCCCTAGTGACTACTACGTATGAAGTGACAACAACTCTTGAGATTATTAAACGAATAGCAACTTTTCAAGGCAAAATATTGATGAGCAACTCAATTGCTCGGCTATTAATGTAAGCCAAGTTGGACCTTCTAATTATATTACACAATTGTTATATTTTTTCTTATTTTTAACATAGTCATGTTTTTGACAAATTCTGTAACTCTCAAGTCCTAACTCAAATCACTAAATAAGGGTTGATGGGTGAGCTTAGTTTACACAATTTTATAATGAAGCAAATTTTATAAAAATTTCAAAGCTCTTATTATAGAATTTTGTTTCTCTTTTTTTTTTTCATTCAATAAGCTCAATATTATTGGGTATAATTTATGGCATGAGTAATGCCAATTTTATTATTTAATCTATTTCAATTTTCAAATATGACAAAAATCTAACAAGAAATTTCAATTTATTTCGAGATTTCTAAGTTTTTAATCATATAATTAAACTGAGCATAAATCACAAAAGAAAACAAATGGCGATAGTACATCGAGATCATCATTTGGACTGTGTCATAAAGAATGTGCCTCTTTGAACTTTCATGCGTAGATCTAATATCATATAAATTACACAAATGGCAAGAAAACTTTTGGTGAATAATTTTTTATTTATCAAGGGGTTGTTTGATTGTTGAGTATAACATAAAAATAATATAGGAATTGTAATTGTTGGATGTTTGATTTGAAGTTAATTGAATAATTTAGAATGCTCTCTTTGATGAATTTAGAATTCACTCAAATGAGTCAAAGTTCAAATCCAAACGAAAAACTCACTGCTTGTAATCTTTTCTCCTCCATGTAATCGCCGCCATCTTCTGTCATGAGCGTCAACCACCATCGTTGGCCAGTCGTTACTGGTGACGTTGATGGACATCAATCTTATTGGTAATGTTGTGTTCTGTCGCCATAGTCGGCAATCACTACTGCTGATCGACGTTGATGGACATCAGTCTTACTGGCCATGACAGACATTAATGTTGTGTTGACAGTGAATATTAACATTAGCGATGATGATAAACATTGTTGTTGATGATGAATTGATGATGGTAGAAATTAGAATTGCCGGTGATGGTGGATGTCAATGTTTTTGGTGATAATAGATGTTGGTGTTTGTGGCAATTACGCCGATGAGTTTTGTTGGTGATGATGGATGTTGGTATGTGTTGTAATAAAGTTTTTAAAAAAACTCTTTTTTTTATTGAAATTTTGTTCTCATTGTTGCAGAAATTAAAAAAAAAAAAAAGTTTATTTCTATGCATAGCTTGCAAATATATCCATAATTCCTGTAAATGGATTCACAAGACACAAAATTATAAAAAAGAACTCAACCTGCAGGCGGCAGCGAAATTACAGCGCTACCGCGCATCGATGACAGAGTTATAAAGATGAATCAACACCTTCTTCTCAAAGTTTCCACCTTTCAAACTCCCCTGCCTCGCCCTCGGAATCCGGCGATCCCACACCGCCCCACCGACGCCGTCCTTCTTCGCGGCGACGCCGCCGTCTCCGGCGAGCATCAGCATGACGTTCATGTAAGCGTCCCTTACCCTCGCCATCACTCTTCCCGGCGTTTTGATAACAGTTAGCTTACTCAGCCTTATCACCGGCCGCGCCAGCACCACCGCCTTACTACAACGCCGCCACTTTTTTCCACCTTCGTCACCGAGCGTCACCACGTCTATCTCCTTCCTCGGCGCCGGCAACCTCTCCAACCTCTGGTAGGTTCGCCGCCGCCAGCAGGACTGCAAGCTCTTGATTGCCTCCATTGGATCAGCGATGAAAGTTTCATAAGGAGGTTTATATTTTTATAGTATTAATCAAATGGTTATTATCCAAATGTTGACATTTCTACGGTTTGCTAAGTTATGATTTGTATTGACTTGTTCATATTCCTTTTCTATAATAAATTAGAGGTGGTTAGCAGGAAAGTGTGTCGATCAGCCCAAGAGTTTGACGTTAGCGTGTTTGTGAAGCATAATTTGATATTTTTTATAAGTCAATATATACTGCGAATCAAGAGAAATTATTAGGGGGGAGTTGGGACATAGAGAATTATTCAATTTTGTGACTGTGAACAGTAAAATAGTAGTTATTATTCGCTACTGTATTTTTACTATTCACTACTGTGATGCTCCAGAATCTTTGAAACTCTGCAGTTAAGTGTGCTCATCTTGGAGCAATTGTAGAATGAGTGATCTACTAGGAAGTTACACCAACATGATAAAACCGTGAGATTCTTAAGTCAAAGAGGACAATATCTCGATAGTTAAGGACTTGTACTATTACATCTACTAAATTTTTACTGTGCTTTTATTGTTCATAGTCACAAAATCGAATAATTATATGTATCAAACTTCGTATATAATAATCTCTCATGATTGAGTAAACAATAGAACTGTAAAGCAATAACATTCTTTCTTTCATTCTTTTAATGAGCACTGCGTTTTCTTCAAAAGAAAACGACAATGAATAACATCCAAAGAATATTATGAAAGATTTGACTAAGAAGGATCATCATTTCCACTATTCCATAAAGTTTCTCTTGGCCTCATAATAGCAGGGTAATTTGGACAAATGAAGGAGCTGTGATGATAGTTTCATGATCTGGCATAATCAAATAAATATATGAATATGATATGAAATATATTTTAAAAATTTTGAACTTGAATTGATGGGTCAAATAGCTTTCAATTATATAATATTTTAGTAAAATTGAGCAGATCAATAAGACGAATCTAATGAATTCAAGATCATTTGATTTCAAATGTTTGATAAATGATTTATGATCAAGGACATTCGTTGCAGAAATAGGAGGTTCAGGATTTGAGAGAAGCAAAGAGTTATTTTATATTTTCAGATTATTATTGTCGACAACCACCTCCAGCAGTTGTCGCCATAGTCTCCAAACTTTTGTCAAAATCTAACTCCATTGCTGAGGTTATAGTCATCCACATGTAAACATCTAAATTCTGTAATTCCTATAATGGTGCGAAATTGAGTATTCTTTTATCTCCAATTCTATAATGAATTATTACAATTGGGCTGACCCCCTGAATTTTCTCCTTCTCGAACTTTTCATATAAAAAACTTATAGTCTCCTATACATTATTTCGTTCATGCTTGATTTGTATACAATCTTAAGACTCTATACTCTAGCTCTACCTTTGCAAATTTTCTAGCACGAACAATTAAGAATTGTAATTGTTGCGTCCTGGAGCATTCGCGGCGGTAGAGAAGTATATAGTTTAACATCTTAGCATTGTACGAAGATCTAGCACACAAGCAGATAAGAGAGGGGGGATATTCATAAGAGACACCAGAGTTTTTTACGTGGAAAACCCCTGAAAAGGGGGAAAAACCACGGGGCCTGGCCCAGTTTGAATGAATCCACTAGTATTTGTAATCGTTACAAATGAGGCTCTTCCTTGGGAGAAGGCATTGGATTGATGTAGCAAATGTACATCATACATATTGCATTACATAGTAGGAATTACATATTCAATTATATAATATTTGAGTAAAATTGAGCAGATCAATAAGACGAATCTGATGAGTTCAAGATCATTTGATTTCAAATATTTGATAAATGATTTATGATCAAGGGCATTATTTGCAGAAATAGGAGGTTCGGGATTTGAGAGAAGTAAAGAGTTATTCTTATATTTTCAGACTATTATTGTCGACAACCACCTCCAGCAGTTGTCTCCACCATCTCCAAAATTTTGTCAAAATCTAACTCCATTGCTGAGGTTATAGTCATCCACATGTAAACATCTAAATTCTGTAATCCCTATAATGGTGCGAAATTGAGTATTCTTGTATCTCCAATTCTATAATGGATTATTACAATTGGGCTGACCCCCATGAATTTTCTCCTTCTCGAACTTTTCATATAAAAAACTTATAGTCTCCTATACATTATTTTGTTCATGGTTGATTTTTATACAATCTTAAGACTCTATACTCTAGCTCTACCTTTGCAAATTTTCTAACACGAGCAATTAAGAATTGTAATAATAATAATTACTTATATTTATGATTATATTTGGAAAACGATTATTATATTTTATTTCTACAATTTAAATTTTTGCCTATAATTAATTAGTTATTTACATAAAAATTTGTGGATTTTACATAAACTGAAAGTCAAATTAGGACTGAAGATTCATTCATTTCACTTAATTCTGCAAGTCAAATTAGGAGGCCGTTTAATAATCTTCATAAGATAAGCATACATTGATTGAATTCAGATGCAACTTGCATTTATCTGAATTTTTTATTTATTTATTTGGTAAGCTGAAAAAAGATTTAATATGTCATTTAAAAAATCATTACCGACCTCCAAATTTAGAAGTTAATAATAATAATAATATATAATTAGTGAGAAAAACTAAACTAAATTCAGATAATTGGTGTGGCATCATGTCCTTGTATATCTTTGATGTGGCTCTAGATGTATCTGGTAAGTACTATGGGCAGGAGGGAGTCCTGGAAGGCTAGTGCTCTGGTGTATCCTCAAATGTGAATATCTTAGACTACCAAGATGAGTATCGTGGGTGAGTATACGAAAGCGATCACCCTAGACAAGTGCAAATCTTTTAGGGTGAGTCTTCATAAGATAAGCATACATTGATTGAATTCAGATGCAACTTGCATTTATCTGAATTTTTTATTTATTTATTTGGTAAGCTGAAAAAAGATTTAATATGTCATTTAAAAAATCATTACCGACCTCCAAATTTAGAAGTTAATAATAATAATAATATATAATTAGTGATTAAAAATAAATTAAATTCAGATAACTTGTGCACCATCACGTCCTTGTATATCTTTGATGTAGCTCTAGATGTATCTGGTAAGTACTATGGGCAGGAGGGAGTCCTGGAAGGCTAGTGCTCTGGTGTATCCTCAAATGTGAATATCTTAGACTACCAAGATGAGTATCGTGGGTGAGTATACGAAAGCGATCACCCTAGAGAAGTGGCAAATCTTTGAGGGTGAGTGATGAGTTGTCTAGGCAAGAATTCCATACTAGTGGCTATGGGTTGAGGACAAACGTAATTGATAGAGTCGTGATTACCAGTTCTATAAGTGTGTACCTCTTGTAGCTTTAACAGGGATATTCGTGGAAGAAAAATGACATTAACTGAAGTGAATCGTTGAAAGAACAGAGTCATCATAAACTAAGAACTTCTATGAGTGAAGGCTTGCTGACGCAAGTTTATTGGTCAAACTTGCTTAAAATATGTGTCTCATTGGTCGAGCTCCTTGACAGTAAGCTTATATAATGTGAGCTTCATTGAGTCAAATATCTGCCTATATATGGACTTGGTCCAACAACTGCACTTCAAAGTGATACTCATTTTAGATTAGTGCATTTCTCGACCGAGCTAATCAACAACAAACCTATTTGATTCGTACAAGTTACATATTATGACGTATAGGACTAAACAACTAAGTCAAATTGCTAACTTCCACTAATAGCTATAAAAAAATATACATGCATTAAATTTGATAGCTACCATGTCAATAATACAAACTGGTCAATGAAATACAATAATAATAAATTGCACTTCATATCTAAGAGTCAACAATTATAATTATAAAAAAACTAAAGGAGATGAGAGTGAACATCCCTTCTTTCATACAATTCTAACATTTCAAATAAAAAAAGTGAATCTAAAGGTCATAAATAATAAATTCATATTTACAAAACGATAATTTATTATTCCACCAATTAAATTAACTTTTGCACTTGCAATCAGAAATTGTAAAAATCGTAAAAATCGCAAGTTGATGATTTTCCCTCAAGAAATCAATTTTTCAAAAGACAAGCTAATTTATCAACGAAACAAAATCAAGATTAATTAAACCAATCAATCTTTTTTTTTCTTAGCTTTAGTTATCAAATTATTTTGGACAATATCATACTTCTCTTACAAATATTTTAAATTATTTTCAAGTTTTATATCTCTAGGATGTCTGATAATTTTGATGGACCATCAAAATTAGATTAGATCATACACGAATTTTGATATATTTTTTAATTAAAAAAATTTTACAATTAAATTCATAATCATCAAAATTTTGTTTTTTTTATAAAACTTACATTCAAGATGAATGTTTTGAAGAGAGGGATCTAAATCCAAACGAGCCCAAATCAAGTAAGTAAAACATAATTGAAATCTTCAAAATGCTAATTGGATGACCAAAAAAATCTTCGAATTTTGCATTTTGTTTTTCAAATCGAATGTGTTGACAAGATGAATCCAACGAGCTTGGTATCGCTTGAAATCACAAAGGCGTTTAAATATTGAAAGAATCAATATATGTCATCTGATGGTGGGTTCTAGAGCTAAACTATATTTAAGGAGCATGTCAATTCCTAAAATTATAAATAGACCTCTACTCTCTAAATGAAGTAAACTACTAGCTTGAGATTAATAGATCTCAAAGGTTGCGACAATCGCAAAGTTCCATTAGATCATTTCCCAATTGTTGTTGTTGCATCAACATCATTGGAACAAAGTTATCCAACCACTATTGTCAAATCATCACTGACTGCCTACTATAGTTGGATGTACAGCTACCTTTTACCACAATCATTAAACCTCCACCCCGAAACCACCAAGTATGGTTCTTCGGCTCCCATCACTAGACTACAATCTTTTGATCTATGTCGTCCAACCACAATCATTCAATTGTCGTTACATAACAACAATCCTCCAACCTTCATTGTCTCAAGCACAGTTCTTTGATCATCATCACATCAAAATGATCTTATAAATAAATATAATATGCATCAGCATATTTTGCCTCTATAATCTTCAAAAGCCCACTTTTTTCTCTTCATCAATAATCTCAACCCTTACTAATTCAGCTAAAAGATTTGTGGCTCTAGATACTAATTTCTTTTATTAAAATCTGCTTCAAACGAACTGGAGATTGGACAAATAAATAAATTTACAACCTTGCAAAATTTTGCAAGATTCTTCCAAATAATTTACAATTAGGCAATAATATCAATAAAAATAGAAATTACAATATAATACAACAATCAATAATAAAAAAATTTATCGAGTAGCAATAACAGAGTTATAAAGATGAATCATCACTCTCTTCTCAAAGTCTCCACTTTTCATACTTGCCTGCCTCGCCCTCGGTATCCTGCGATCCCACACCGCCCCGCCACCGCCGCCTCCGGCGAGCACCAACATGGCGTTCATGTAAGCATCTCTCAAACTAGCCATCACTTTCACCGGCGATTTCGGAACACTTAACTTCTTCAAGCACATCGCCTGCCGCACCACCACTCTCTTCCTTGACCGCCGCCACCTTTGGCCGCCGTTGCCAAGCCTCACAACAGCAATTTTCTTTGCAGCGGGCACGTCCTCTAATCTTTGGTAGGATCGGCGGCGCCAGTAGGATTTCAAGCTCTTGATGGCCTCCATCGGTGCAGCTCTCTGTTCTTCCTTCTTAGCTGATATTGAAGTGCTGAGGATTGCTTTTGTATTTATAGTGTCTGGGTTTTATTTTGTTAAAATAGTCAAAGTCAATGCGTGGATTTGTTCTCTTGTGTACTGGGTCAACAAAGGGCACGTCCGTGTGGGGAGATGGTGGGCCCAGTTTTCCTTCTTTGTTGACCGTTTAATAAATGGGTGGTAAGGGCCGAGCAGATGCGGGGATGGATCTAATTCGGATTCAACCCGAAATTGATACGATCCTACTTGCCAGTAACCTGAACGACCCAAATTTGATCCGTTAATATATTTTGCTTATTTTTTTTAATGACTTATTAACTATAAATTTTATATTTTTTGATAAAAAAATAATAAGATTATATCCACATGTAAAAAAATTAAGAAAAAAAATACATTAAATGAGTTTTTACTCAACTAGCTTAAATAATGGGTTGGAAAACCCAACACGAATCTGACATGTTAATTAAATTAGTCAATCAAACCCGAATTTTTCGTGTTAGATTCAGTTCGCATTGACGAGTCAGATCACTTCTTGACACCTTTAATTTTTAGTGGCTGCTAAATTAATATTTTCTAATTTGTTAGCAGAAAAATAAAAACTATATTTTTTTGAGAGTTTATAAATTGAGATCCTACATTTACAAATGGGAATTTATATCCCTATGAAAAATTTGCAAAATTCACGTGAATCTAGAGATGAAATTTAAATTAGAAACTTCTAGAATTAAATTCAAGATCAACTAAACTATAATTCCAGCAATTTGATAGTCGTACAGAATGTCTCAATAAGACATACCCAATAATACTGCAATGATCCAATCCTATATCAGTACATATGAGCATTATTAATTATAGATCACTTATAAAATTAAGGTTTTGTTTGAGATAGTTTTTTTGCAACTTTCTTAAATAGCTTTTGAGTATAAAAAAATTTTGTAATGAAAAGCCGTTTTATAAAGCGGTGAGAAACTGTCCTAAAAGATGCTTAAATTCCAATTTATATTAATTCACAAAGATTTATTTGTTTTTAAATGAAAAAAAAAAACAATTACTTTTAGCATTCAGTCATAATTTAAAATAATATATGATTATAGCTCAAATTAATTATAATTGTAGCTCATATGGATTATTTCATGATTAGGAATAACGCGCTTTGCAGAGTACTTTATTTATATGTTAATAACGACAAAAGAAAGCTTATTATGCCAATTTATTAAGTTGATCAATACATTAAGCTGTCAAAGTCAGAAAAACCCAACTAAGCACGACTCTTTAAAAATTTTGTTAAACAAAATAGGATTATCTATTTATTATTTTTCGAGATATAGTGTGATTCAGTCAAAAGAATGAATCAAAGGTTTCGTTTGGGGTAGCTTTCTTAACGCTTTCTAAAATGTATAAAAAATTTTAGTTCACGAAAATTTTATATTAAAAATATGTTTTAGATCATCTCCAACTTTAACACTCTAAAATACAATAATATTTTAAAATGTAGTAACTCATCTCCAATTAAACTCCATTTCATAACATTAAAAAAGAATATACTAGGTATATTCTTGCTCCACCCAAACTCCAACTGAACAAAAATGGAGAAAAAATGATATTTGTGAACAGTGCGACATCTATATTGGGGTCACTCTGTTTTACCTAGCGCTAAATGTCATTGAATCTGGCATTTGGTTGGAGCTCGCGGTGACTGCAAATGATCCTTTGGGGCTCGAACGACCAAAGCGTGCATTAAAGTATTTCAGCTCTGCCTTCTCCCCATTTTGACCACGACTTGCTCGATAAAGAAAGGGAGAACGGAGAGAAAGATGAGAGAGAAAGCCAATTTTTGGCCATTTTCATCCATCGCTTTTATTGTAAAAAGTGTTCTGATTATTGTTAGTAATTATCCTCATACTTTTGTTTTTGATGATTTTGATTTCTATATATTTATCTCTATTAAATCTGCCAACATGCATTATCTCTTGATTTTATGTGCTTTCAGTGTATAACTTTTGATATGTTATAGATTTGATTATTGTGATCAATATGACATTATTTTATTATATTTTCACATATTAAATATGTGTAAAAAATTTTTGGGTAAAATGAGCAAGAAAAAAGACAAACTAGATATTTGTTGAAAAATATTATACTATAATTTGACATGATAAGACTGCAAGGTAATATATACTGGAATGATTGATATGATTAAGTCATGCAAGAACATAATATTGCAACTAGTCTGACTCTGATATAATGTACAGATAGAATATACTGATATATGATATGATAATCCCATGTGATATCCTCAAGATCCACATGATCCTCCTATGGGAGTTAGTGGATTAGAGTCATAAAAAGATGGAGATTGATTGAGTGTTATAAAGAGTCAGGGTGATTCTCACGTGTTTCATGAGGAGTTATAAGAAGTTCATTGATTGAGAATAATAAGGGGTGACTGATTGAGAATCATAAGTGCATGAGCAAGATCAAGATTCCCTCTTCTGAATATCTGAAAAATATACTTATATTGATTACTATCATTTATTACTTCTTATTGTTATTGATACAGATACTGTAGTTTATATTGTATTGGTACTAACTATTATTCGAATTAGTCATAATTGTTGATGTTCATATATAACTTGTTGAAGCTTGTATGTGAGAATCAATAGGTGACTCGCACTCCCCATATGATTAGGTTGAAATATGCTCCATTTGAAATTAAACATACCTTCAACTAGTGTTAGACATGCTTGATTTTTTAAGTTTAGAATATGAACATTTAGGCTTTATTTGTTTGAGCGTTTTTTTGCCTTCTCCGTTTCCTAAAACGGAGGATTTTTTTTTTGTGTTGTTTGGTTCGTCAAATCACGTTCCCATTAACTCCTTTTTCTCATTTTTCTGCAGTTTTGAGAATGCTTTTTAAATGTGCTTCTCCGTTAGAAAATTCCATTTTCTGAACTAATGTTTTTTAAAACTGTGTTTTACAAAAGCACAAAAAAAACAAACGAAGCCTCATTTGGTTCAGACCAGTTTTTCAATTAACTTTGGCCTTTTCGGTCATTTCTATATTTATATCATATTTTTTTTATATTTAAAAAGTACATTTGTTTAATGTATTTTTTTTAATTAGATAAGTTATAAAAAAAAAAAATCTAAGACCTAACTAAATAAACTGAAAAATTGAAATCTGTAAAAAAAAAATTGCATAAATAAAAATATATATCTATATAAAATAAAAGCAACATCTAACGTAAGGTTATCAATTTTTGTTAGAACCATACATTTATTCTTAAAATTTAAAAATTTTCTCCAAAAAACTAAAATCTTAATTTTCACAAGCTAAAATAAAATAATATTATTAATAATAATCAATGAAATTTAAATAAAAATTTTCAGGAGATTAAGAAGGGAAAAAAATCCTTCAGATCTACTGAAGAATCAACCTCAAACTGGTCGGAAATCAAGCTGAGTAAAGCGAGAGTGAAGAGCAGAAACGGGAAATGGGGAAAATTGAAACAGGAGCAGAAATAAAGCCTTCGACCTTCCAGCAAAAGATCAACCATTTAAGTCTGACGATTTTCGCCGGCGAATTTTCCGTGGGGAAAATCTCCGGTAGATTTTCCGCCGTCTTATCAGCCGGTAAATCCGGCGATTATATTCCACCGATTCGGCAGCCGGAAAAAAATATAATTTTCCTTTCAGTGATCAAACTCCATGTTTGATCGTTTGAAATATCGGGATTAATCGATGTGATGTTGGATGCATTTGCGGTCATTCTAGCGATCAAAACTCTATGTTTGTTCGTTTGCGATTCCAAATGCGTACAGGCAGTGCTTATGAACGAAAAAGATCAACAATTGATTAAGAACTGTTTCAAACAAACTGAATAGACTAAACAAAATTTCATTCATAGTTTCACAAACAATTTTGTGATTCCTCTAAGTATAACAGCAGTCAAAAATTAAATTAAGAGCTACCGAGTAGCGATAACAGAGTTATAAAGATGAATCATCAATCTCTTCTCGAAGTCTCCGCCTCTCAAACTTCCATGCCTCGCCCTCGGAATCCGGCGATCCCACACCGCCCCGTTCTTCCTCGCAGCAGCACCCGCACCTCCGGCGAGCATCAGCATACCGTTCATATAAGCGTCCCTCAGCCTGGCCAGTAGTTTCCCTGGTGAAGCCAGAACAATCAGTCTCTTCAGTCTCAGCGCCGGCCTCACCGCCACCGCCTTCCATGACCGCCGCCAGCTTTTTTGGCCGGCTCCGAGCCTTACAACCGCAAGCTTCTTGCTTGCCGGCACGTCCTCTAATCTCTGGTAGGCTCTTCGGCGCCAGTAGAACTTCAAGCTCTTGATGGCCTCCATTGAAGCAGCTCTCACTTCTTCCTTGCTGGTTATGAAGTGAAGAGCAATGAAGGTTTCTGTATTTATAGTTGCTCGGGTTTAAATCGCCAAAACAGTCAAAGTCAAATCATTGACTTAGTCTTTGCTTGACATAGTCAACGTAAATAACGTCCAGCTGGAGGCGGATAGCGAATGTATATTCCCAATGTATTTATTGCCAGCTAGCTATAATTGAAGACAAGATCAAGCTGTAGTTCTGTAATTTAATATTATCTGAAGAAGACGAAGAAGAAGAAGAAGGTTCAATTATTGTGGGAGTTGAAGAGTTCATCAATGGAGATATTCACTTTATAAAATAAGTATAATAAAATTAAATTATATATAAAATCAGTGAGCAAAATCTACTGTACCTAAGCTAGCTACATAAAATGATTGTTAGGTCTTCTAGTCAAGAGAATTGTGGGTGAGCTCAATTTAGAGGAGCAAATGAGTCGAGTCGAGTCGTATATTTACCTAATCAAATTAAGTTTGTTTAGTTCTTATTGAGCTTGAGTCAAGCTCGAGCTCAACTCTAAGCTTGTTTGCTAAATTGAGGTTCGACTCACTAGATAAATTATAGTTTAGAGTTCGATTGAAAAGTTCGAGCTTTATTTCTTGATTTTAATTTAAATTTTTTAAATTAAATTTGAATCAAATTATTAAATCAAGACATTCATTGATGCTCTAATAAAACAATATCAAAGTGCTTGTCCATATTATTGATAATTATGCACCACAAACTCAGACATGAGATTTGAGATTCTTGATAGAGTGCAACCCTTAAGTGGATGTCCACATTGAAGGTGATCATCATTGTTGTGTCCTGGAATATTCGTGGCGGTAGAGAAATATGATATTTAATGTCTTAGCTTTGTACGAAGATCCAACACACAAGCACATAAAAGAGAGGGTGTAACGTTTATAATAGACACCAGGAATTTTATGTGGAAACTCTTGAAAATGGGGAAAAATCACGGGGTCTAGCCCAGTTTGAATGAATCCACTATTATTTGTAATATATTACAAATGAGGCCCTTCATTTGAGGGAATGTCTTGGCTTGATATAATAGATATACATCACATAGAATACATTACATTGTAGAAATTGCAAAAATTAATATTTATATGTTCATTTAGTCTGTAAGATCATAGTCGGCAGGTAACGGAGGTTGGAAGGACCATAGTCGACAGGAGACATGGGTCAGAAAGATCGTTGCCTAGCGATGGAGGTCGAAAGGACCGTAGTAGGCGACGAGATCGAAGGGACTAGTCGGCAGGAGACAAGAGTCAGAAAGACTGTTGTCTAGCGGTGGAGGTCGGAAGGACCGTAGTCAGTAGGAGACAGGGTTAAAAAGACCATTGTTTGGCGATGGAGGTCTAAAGGACCATGGTCGTCAGGAGATAGGGACTAGAAAGATCATTGTCGTAAGGCGGTGGTCCGGCCGGTGGAACTATGGGCATCAAATGATTATTTGGTGGAACTCTGTGCATCAGGTAGTGGTCCGGTGGACCTTCAAGTGTTAGGTGGTGGTTCATGGGAACTCCAGACCTCAGAATGAGGCCTAAACTTTCGTTAGACCACCGATAGAAGTCAGAGTTCCACAATACCAATAAATAACGCCTGAACTTCCACCAAACCACCGCCTTACGACTATGATCTTTCTGACTCCTATCTCCTACAGATTATGGTCCTTCGGATCTCCATCGTCAGAAAACAGTCTTTTTGACCCCTGTTTCCTATCGATTATGGTCTTTACAACCTCTGTCGCCTGCTGCGGTCCTTTCGACCACCATCATCAAACAATGGTCTTTCTGACTCGTGTCTCCTGTCGACTATAGTCCTTCCTACCTCCATCACCTGCTACAGTCCTTCCAACATCCATCATCATACAACAAATTTTTTGACCCCTATCTCTTGCCGACTACGATCCTTTCAACCTCAATGTCAGACAATGATCTTTTGACCCCTATCTCCTGTCGACTGTGGTCCTTCCGACCTCCATCACTAGACAACGGTCATTCTGACCCCTGTCTCCTGCCAATTATGGTTCTTTCGACCTTTGTCTCCTACTATGGTCCTTCTGACCTCCATCGCTAGACAACGACCTTTCTTACCCCTGTCTCATGTCGACTGCAGTCCTTTCGACTTCTACCTCCTACTACTGTCCTTCCAACCTCCATCGCCAGACAAAGGTCTTTCTGATCCCTGTCTCCTACCGACTATGATCCTTCCGACCTTCGTCGCATACTACGGTCATTCCAACCTCCATCGCCAGACAACGGTCTTTCTAACCCTTGTTTACTGCCAACTATGGTCTTTCCGACCTCAGTCGCCTACTACGGTCCTTTCGACCTCTGTCGCCTGCTACGATTCTTTCGACCTCTGTCGCCTACTACGATCCTTCCGACCTCCATCGTTAGACAACGATCTTTCTTGCCCCTGTCTATTGCTGACTATGGTCCTTCCGACCTTCGTCACATACTACGGTCCTTCCGAACTCCATCACAAGACAACGATCCTTCTGACCCTTGTCTCCTGTCAAATACAGTCCGACCTCCGTCCCCTACTACGATCCTTATAACCTCCATCACCAGATACCAGTTTTTCTGACTCATGTCTCATGCTGACTATAGTCCTTTTGACCTCCGTTTCCTTCTATGGTCCTTCCGACCTCCATCGCCAGACAACGATCTTTTTCACCCATATCTCTTGCCAGCTATGGTCCTTCCGACCTCCATCACCTACTACGGTCCTTCCAACCATCATCACAAACTACAGTCTTTCCGAACTTTGTTGGTGCCTGCTGACTAAACAAATATTTCAATACTAATTATTCAAATTCTCACCATGTAATATGATTTACATTTGTTACCTCAACCTAGAGCCTTCCCACCAAGAAGGGCCTCATTTATAATCAACTGCAAATAATAGTTGATTCATTCAAATTGAGTCAAGTCCTGTGATTTTTCTTATTTTTAAGGGTTTCCACGTAAAAACCATTGATGTCTATTATGAATGCTACACTATCTCTTTTATCTAATTGTGTATCAGATATTGATATAAAATTAAGACGTTAAATGTCATATTTCTCCACTGTCTTAAATATTTCACTACGCAACAATCACCAAATTACTAATCCTCGAAGACTAACTTTTTTCATCTGGGAGAATTTTATAAGAAATATTAAAGAATCCCATCTTCGAATACAGTTCTAGTCAGCACCACTATCGATGTATCGATTGTTACATATCAGTCCAGATTCGATTACTACCAGAAAAGATTCGATTTGATTATTTTCATCAAAGGCTAAGGTTGCCCCGTTATATTCGGCTGATAACCTATTTAAGATCCTTTTTTTTTCCTACTGCGAGAGTTCAATCCAGAAATCAAAATCGTTCAAGAATCTTATTAGCTCGCAGGAGGAAGTCTGAAGGCATGGCTGGCCTCTGTGCATCCGCAGCCGCAGTGAGCCTCGAAATTACACAACTTTATTGCCTCTGCAACTCCTTTCTCATTCCCCCGCCAACGTCCGCACATCGATTTGTTAAAAATCTATTTTTGCCCATTTGCAGAGCAGGTTCGCTTCCATTCCTTTCTCTACCTCTCCTTCCTGTTTGAAGCGTGGTCGGAAACCGTGGGCTTTATCACCTAGAAAAGTTCGAGTCGGTTTTAGGGTTCAAGCCTTCTTCAATCCCTTAGAAGACCAACCTATCGTTAAGGATGCTCTCAAGGTGTTTGTTGTTATGCGTAAAACATTTTGGTCTGCAAGGAAATGCCTTTTTGACTGTATCACATTTTTTTTTTCTCAGGAACCGGTGGCCTTCTTAGGCGGGATGTTTGCTGGTCTCCTGAGGCTGGATCTGAACGAGGATCCCCTTAAGGAGTGGATCTCGAGGACTGTTGAGGCCTCTGGACTCAAACCCGAAGAGGTAGTCGATGGGATGGAGTCGAGGTTGGATGAGAATGAAGATTTTCCTCAGCAGATAGAGATTGAATGAGTTTTTATCTTTGGAATTCGGTAAGCGGGCTTTGCATTTAGGTATACTGATAGTGTATGTGGCACTTGCGTTCTGTACTAAGTTAAGTTTCTTTTAGGATGCTCTTCTTCATCAGTATATGTTGGTTTTATAGCCAACTTTATTCAAATAGCTTTTGTACAGTTATGGCATTACAAATTGAATGGATAGGTTTTAAGCCTTTTTCACATTGGCATTTTCTTGGAAATGTTAATTATACATGGCTCTTGTAGAAAAAATCTTGGACTAGCGTATAAGGTGTTTTACTTGATCCTTTAAATTATCTAGTGATATACATTATTTGAGTGTAACCTAAGGCAATGTGGATATAAGTTGTTTAAAAATCTTTGCAAAGAACATGTTTAACAACTTGTGCATCACTTGGCATGAACACATGAAAAATGAAGACTCATAATGGAAACCTTGAAGAGCTAGAATATGAAAACCTTGAAGAGCTAGGATAAGTATGATGATGATGATGTGGTTAATGATTTTAGTGCCATCTTTTGAAATTTGTATTTTTTTTTTTCATTTAGTTGACTCATAAATGATTTCAATAAAATTCAACAATGAAATTGAATAAGAATCCTCATCAATGACAACAATATGAGAGATATAGCGAGAAATATCCTGTCATTGAAACCACATTCTTTATTTTCGGTTTAGGGTTGCTTGATTGGCTGATATTGATGGTGTTTTGCTATTTCAATAATAGTTAACATGTGCCTAATATTTGGTTTTCTATCATCTATGGTTGCATCTAGTTAGACATTAGTTTAATCAAATATGTACTTTCTAGTTATTTTAATAGTTGAAGGAAATAAAGAGAAAATTATCATCATTGAAAGTGCTAGATTGGAAAGGTGTGATTTAATTATTGGATTTTTTTCCTCATTTTATATTCTTGGAAATGGTGAGTAATGAAGCGCAATGCTTGCAAGTTTAGTGTAATTTAGCGCACTTTCCTCAAACAGGGAGTAGGGAGGAAAAAACTCCTAACCACTTGACCACAGTTTTAGCTACTCTCCTCCTTATTATATTCTTCTTTGTTTTTCCTATTTGCTTGTTTTTTTTTTTCATAAGTCAAACATCAAGGACTTTTTTGATGGAATAATTGTCATGTGGGTGGCTATGATACACCGACACTTCTCTCCAAAGAGGCATACATTGTCCGGTACGTTTCAGATACAACACACATCCAACACGTATCAGACACACCTAATACATGTTCGATTAAAAAACATTTAAAAAAAAAATTTGGACACACTTGTCTTAAATATTTTATTATTTTTTAAATACAATTTCCTATATTTAAAATTTTTATTTATTAATAAATAAAAACTAAGATTAGAGAAGCCGAATGTTGGCCATTAAAAGAGAAGCATAATACTAAGTTAAGTGTGGCAGAGATGAGGATGCTCAGGTGGATGAGTGGCTTTACCCTTAGAGATAGGATACGAAATGAGCATATACGTGAAAAGGTTGGAGTAGCTCCAGTAGAAGATAAGATTAGAGAGAGTCGCCTTAGATGGTTTGGTCACATAAAAAGGTGGTTAGGAGAGTAGATGTATTAGATTTTACTTGTGTTAAGAAAAGTAGGGGTAGACCATACTTGTTAACAGCGAATGGCGCACCATGGCGCAAAGGTCCTATTTGAGCCATGGTGCATAGCGCACGGCGCGGTGCACGCCATTTTGAACATGGCGCAAATTATAAAAGAATTATAAAATATTAAGCATGAATATGAAATATCATTAAATTGAAAGACAAACTATCATAATAACAAGCAAACAACGACAATACAAATAAATAACAATCCAACATAATTTCAAATCCAATAAATAGTCAATCTTTATACAACTAAAATATATTTAAATGAAATTAAATAGCATTAAGAAGATAATAATATGCAATCTAACATTTATCTTAATACTTTTAAGTTTTAATATATTTAAAAATTATAAAATATATTATCTTAAAAAATATATTAAAAATATTTATAATTACATTAAAAAATTTTTAAAACAAATGACGCGCGCTATTTTGTGCCGCGCGCCATTTGCCATGGCGCGCTATGGCGCAAATAGCTCGTGCCATTTTGAATGTTTGCGCCGCGCCGCGCCGTGCGCCATGGTGCGCGCAACTTTGTGCCATTGACATCTATGGGATAGACCTAAAAAGACTTGGTTAGAAAATATTATGAATGACCTTTCTTTATTAGATTTAAACGAGAATTTGACTTTTAATAGGACACAATGGAGAAAAAGGATTCATGTAGCCGACCCCACGTAGTGGGATAAAGGCTTGATGTTGTTGTTGTTGTAATAAATAAAAACTAAATATATTATTTTCTCTCAACAGCTCCAAATATGTTGCTCGCACTCAATACCTTTTTTTTTCGCACTCAATACCTCATTCCTTAAACATTCAAATTTTAATTTCTCTCTAACGGATCGCGGCTAGGGTTTCACAACAACACATGATGCCATCGTAACATCAGCGTCCGACACTCTCATAAAATCTATGTTTCAAACCATCTCAAAATCAAAATTTGACACAAGCAATTTCTACACCCACAATCATGTCCTCGCGCCATTTCGATATTCATCTTTGTCTAACATCGTCTTAACATAGATAACCGATGTCGTCTTGGCATCAATGCTCAATGTCCATCGCACAACATCAATGCCTGATTACATTGTCGTCTCCTCTTTTGATTCTCGACATCGTAAGATTAATTATTTTAAACGCAAATCCTAGTTAAATGTTTTTATTTCTCAATTATTTTAAATATTTTGCTTACTTAATTTCTATGCACTATTTTTAAAATAAAAAAATTTATAATATCGTGTCCAACTCATGTCCTTGTCTCATATTTTTCATAATTGAAGTGTCCCGTGTCTGTGTCGTATTGTGTCTGTGTCGCCATGCCAATTTCTGTGCATCATAGGTGGGTGGAACACGATTCTCTCTCTGCTCTCTTCTCTCTTCTCTTATTAACCCTCTCACTTTTATAACCCTGTTGCTCTCCTTCTCTCATCCTTATTAGAAGCCAAGGCATAAAGGGTACATATCCTATATAATTATGCTGATAGTTAGGTTATCTTAGTTTTCCAATCCATTTTTATTGTTAGGATTAAATTAAAAAAGAATAGATAAAATTTAGATTTAATTGTCAATTAAAGCTGTTGATAGTTGGGTCATCTATTTTTATGGATAGCAATTGAAGAGGATCTACACCCATACATAAAACATCGAAGGAACAAGGAATAAAAAAACTCTAAAATGCATGCCCTCTTGCTTGCCTTATCAACTTTCATCATATTCATCGCTTTATCTTCCATTCACAGTGGCGTTGATTTACCCTCATCATTCATCATCTCTAGCCTTGTTTCGTCATCTCTAACCATAGGCCATGGGGTCGTCATAAGTTGTTCTTAGAAGTTTGTGGTCACGCTTCTTGGTTTTTCGTTGTTGGCCTTTATTGCTAATGTGCTATCTAACCACCTTTACACTAATTACAAAGCCAATTTAATGTGACAAGATAAGGTCCAAATGTGAAAATTCTAGCTTATGCTTTCGTATTAAGGTTATGTTATAAATTTATCATAATTTTAATGTTCATGTAATAGTCCTAGATTGTACTAATAAATATGTATAAGCATATTAAATTATGGTTTGGTCTATCAGATTGTAATAGGGTTATGCGTTAATAAAAATATAATAAATTTATATGTGAAAATTAGGGCTACAAATGACCACCCGATTCGAGTATTTGTATTAATGTTCAAGCTTAACTCATTTAAAATTATAGTTGTTTGAGCTCGGCTCAATACCTGACCAAATGAGTGTTAGTTTTGTGTGGAATCTCTGATTGCGTCAATCAATTGAGTTGTACTGCTGCCTCAAACCTCAATTATATCGGGCAAGCTCACTTGGGGGTTGCACGGGGTCCTCCCCCTGCTTAGGTTATGCTATTTTGCACCCTTTTTTTCATATAATCGTTCAATGTTGTAGAACTGTGTACCCGAGCACTGCGATGCTCCAAACCCTGGCGCTGTGGCACTGCCAAGGAGCATTGTGATATTGTCAAGCTGATTGGAGACAGAGAGTGGAGCGTTGCGACACTCCAAACTTGGCGCCACGATGTTGCGAGGCTGGATGACAATTTTCTTATTCGTTTTTCATGAAAGGTTGCAACCTTTGGTGGTTTCATTGTATCTCGTTGTTAGTTCTATTATGAGAATGGTGCAATGGTGAAGAGAGATAAGGGGAGAACTAGATAGAAGAAAGATTTGTATTATTTATCCAAAATTTTCATAGTGAGTTTCTTGGTGTGGTGTGGATTCGTGACTTTTTTCCCATTTTTAAGTTTTTCCACGTTAAATCCTAGTGCTCTTTGTTTCCGCTGTAATTTTTTTATTTTTTATTTATGTTCACTACATGGTCTACTTTCCCAACAACTAGTATCAGAGCTACATTCTTCAGTTCGAGTGGGAGTGATATCTAACAAAATAAGATACAAGATTGAAAAGTTTAATGGTTTGAACTTTGCATTATGGAAAATGCAAATTAAAGATTTGATGTATCGAAAAAAGTTGTATTTACTGTTGTAATGAAATGCTGAGAAGTCGAATTCAATGATTATGGAGTGAGAGGTTCTTGATCGGACTGCCCTAGTTATGATTCAACTTTTATTTTTCTCATATGTCGCCTTCAACGTTGTAAATGAGAAGACTACAGTCAGTCTCACTGACTAAGATGTATGAAAAGCCATTGGCCTCAAACAAAGTATTTTTGGTGAATAAATCATTCAATATAAAGATGTTAGACAAAACTTCAGAATAATCTAAATACTATGATGCATCAATTGTGTTTAGTTGATGTAGTTTGATGATGAGGTGAGACCGTGAGAGCGTTGCTGCTATTATCTTCATTACCATATAGCTGTGATGGGCTGATTACTACTATGAGTAACTCTTCAGAAAGTTCAAAGTTTAACTTTGATAACATTATAGGGTTAGTGTTTAATGAAAAGGTTTACAGGAAGTCGAACAGTGAATGTTCAAATTCTACTTTGAATGCTGAAGCCAGAGGAAGGGGTTTGCATAAAACCCCAAGTAGAGGGAGATGTAAATTAAGGAGAGAAAAGTCTACTTCAGATAGAGTGAAAGTTGTGTGCTAAAACTATAGAAAGAAGGATCTCTTGAGGGATTGTACTGTTCCAAAAAAGGCTAGT